CCCCAAAACCCCAAAACCCCAAAACCCCAAATGCATTAGATTTAGAATGGTATTAAATTTGAATTAATAATTTATCGATTAAATAAAAATACTATATTTAAATATTTTAGAAATGAATGACAGTTCATCCTCAGATAATAGCATAGAGAAGAAATCAAATTACTCACAAAATTTGAATTGGCACGACTCTCCTGATTTAAATGAGAAAGACTTAAATGAAAATGTAATTAAAGCAATTAAATTAACTCTTGTAGATTTAAAAAAACTAAGTTAGAATTGATGAGAAATATGTCAATGAATATAAGAATCCTTATTTTATTGAAGAGCAGAAAGAATTCTCTTTAGACTAGGAGCAAAACAAAATTGAAAAGGAAAAGCCCAAGTCTTGGCTAGGGAGATTCAAATCTAAGGCTAGATTTTTCCGTTACCCCTCTCATCCTCCTGAATAAGCTACATTATAATAGTTAGCATCTAAAGATATTTAACCTAGCGATTCTGTTTAAAGTAGAGGTATGATAAACAGATTATCATAAATGGGTAAAAATCTTTGGTATGGTGCATCAAAACTATCCTATGAGGAGTATAGTGATTAAGAGGAGTTGCATCAGTACTACTAAGACAATGATGATGATATTGATTAGTTAAAAGTAAAAGATTACATAACAATTTCAAAAGATAAAATAATCAAGACAGAGGCTTATTATTTCACTAAGCTGACTTAAGTCAAGGGGTATCTAACCATCAATCACTCATTTATGCAGTTTGATCCTATAGAATCTGATGAAAACGATATTGTAAGCATGAATGCAATAATTGATATTTTAGGAGAAAGAATCATTGATGTCATACCAATCTTTTGTTGATTATTAGGATATTAGTGACATAGAGCTGCTTAAACTCGTTAATGAAAAGGTGCTTCACATTAATAACGAGTATATTCAGTCTGCCTATCAATATGAATATCTTCTTCAATTTAACTTGACAACATTAAATGGTATGACCCTTAGAGAAACAAAAGCAGTCTTGCACAAGAAAGGCTTCAGAAGGGAAATTCAGCCAATGGCAAATATATTTATTAAGGTATTTCACTAAGTAGTTGATAATTATTATAATATAGTTTTCTCATAGAAATAAGCATGATTGATATTTAACTAATTAGAGCTAGCAGTTGATTTTAGATTACATACAGAATGAAATTAAATAAAAGATCAATAATGCTGAATATACGAATTATTCCCAAACCTATGTTGCATATTTCGATATGATTCTTGATGAAAATTAGAAATAAAGTTTAGTAGAAATTCCAATGTCGTAGATAGTTAATGATAAAGTCAGATCTGTTAATTATTTGTAGCTTTTGAATAAAAACTCTCCAGGCATTTAACTTATAAAATTCATCCCCAACAAAAGTGAACCATCTGAATTTTTAACTGATTAATAAATAAGTAACTTGATTGAAGAATTGCCATCAATGATACAGGGAAATGATTGGACATTGGTATACTCTCTCAACAGAGATGGAGTGTCCTAAAAAACATTCCTTGAAAAATCAAAGAAATGGAAGCATACCATATTAGTGATACAAGATACTAATGACTGGGCATTTGGAGCATATTGTACAGAGAATTGGCATGAAGCAACTAAGTTCTACGGCACAGGGGAGAATTTTCTATTCACCTTTAAAAAATCAAACAAGCCAATCGTTTACAGATGGTCAGGCTAAGATGATTAATTGTAATGGGCAAGTGATGATGTGATTGGCATTGGAGGTGGTGTTCACGGCAGATTTGGGATATTTTTACAAGATAACTTTCTTAAAGGTAGTAGCTAGGTAACAACTACTTTTGAAAATGAAATCTTATCAGAGAAAGAGGACTTTATTTGTACAAATCTTGAATTATGGGGACTTGAATGATTAAAACAAATCTATTATCCATATTAGATATTTTATCTGATTATTAAGTTTAGATTTATTAGATCATTAGAACATTATATAAATTTCATGATGGGGTTTTGGGGTTTTGGGGTTTTGGGG